CTCTGCACACACTCCAGCACCTACCCCTCTGCACACACACACTCCAGGATCTACCCTTCTGCACACACACACTCCAGGATCTACCCCTCTGCACACACACCCTCCAGCACCTACCCCTCTGCACACACACACTCCAGCATCTACCCCTACACACACACACACACACACACACACACTCCAGCAACTACCCTTCCACACACACTCCAGCATCTACCCCTCTGCACACACACTCCAGCACGTACCCCTACACACACACACACACACACACACTCTAGTACACGGACAGCAACATAAGCCTTCTTGTCTGCCTGGCTTCTTCCAGCTCCTTGAGGTCCAGACCAGGATTTTAATCACTTAATGATATCGGTTATTGGCTGTTTTACCAAGCCACAAACATTTGCAATGTGAGATAAACCTGATCATCTTGACTACTACTACTAAGAAGGCTCTCCTTTCATTATTTAATGATTTCTCTTTTCTTTACCTGGTACTGACTCCATCTATTAAAAAAAAAAAGGCGAAATGCTTTGGATCTGCTTATAAAATAATTTCTTATAATATAAAATAACCCTCCTACTTTGGACCCAAAAAAGCTAGGAGGGCAACCTCCTCCCACCCACTGTGGCTGTGAGCAGCCATGCTCCTGAGCACGGAGCACTTTGAAGGAGAGACAGATGCGGAGAAGCCGGGGCGTTTAGAGACTTACAGATGAAGGGCTTCACACTGCTGTGGATGTGTTTGTGTTGCTTGAGGCCTGACGACGTAGCAAATGTTTTACCGCACTCCGGGCAAGCATGTGCCCGGGCACCAACATGTTGAGACCGAATGTGTCGCTGAAGGTTGCTAGGGTCCGTGAAAACCTGCTAGGAAATGAGTACTGATTAATCCAGAAACTTCACTCATGGATACAAGAAAGAAGACCAGCAAGAGCCCAAGGAGAAATTTGTTTTGTCTTGTTTTGGCCTAAGATCAAAAGAAAACTGTATTTCCAAAGTGCAAGGAACTCCTTTAAGGAAGAAACCAGGAATTATTCAGTTCTCTGTGTTTGTAACAGGGTATCCATTAGTGCCAGTTACTGAATCACATCATGAATGGACTATCATGCCAGAGTCAAACAAGGCCTCGTCCAAACCATCATTAAAACTACATTTTAAAATAAAGACACATCACACACACACAATTTGGAAGATTTTGATGAAAGTACCCCAAATTTATTTAAATAATTTTCCTAAGAAGTTAAACTTAAACACAGTGTTTCTTCTGCATGTTTCCAGTAATCTGGAACTTTTCCTTTGGACATTTCACTAAATAAAAGATGAAAACCCAGTAATGCATCCAGAAATAAAATATCCTTGAAGACTATTTCAAATGTTCCAGTTTCCACTGCCACAAAAAGCGACAGCAATAGAAAGCAACCATTCCAGGACATCTCTGCACTCATTGTAAAGTACAAGAACATGGAAGTTGTGGACGGCCATTGCTGTAGTTCACTCTGTGCCCCACTAGAATACTGTCATTACACCTGCGTGCTGTGTAACACTGACTGCTAGGAGCCCTGCACTGCTTGGTGAGAACCAAGTTATGACTTCCAAGAAGGATTAGACGAACAAACCTGGAAGTTTGGAGTCTCACACTCTTTCTGAATAAACATTCAGAAGGGCGATGTGAGCTTCCTCACAAATTGCTATTAAAAAAAAAATAAATCATTCACACTGGACATAATTTTCATTTCCCATGAGGTTACAAACCAACCCCACATGGGCAAGTCAGTAGCAGAACCATGAATTTACCAGGGATGTCTCACGTGCAGTTCTGTAGCTCAGCATTAAGTCCCACCTCCTGCCTGACAGAAACAAAAGGGTACCCACTAAGTGTTTCTGTGTGTTCTGCTAATGCCTTCCAGCATAGACCACTCACTCTGCTTTGCTGAAGGTATTTATAGTTCCCCATCTCAAGGCTTTTCCTATATAGTACAGCAAGTGATGATTAAGAGAGAGGCCGACAGGGAGAGGTGGGCAGCCTACAAATTCACTGTACCTTGGCGCAGTTCTCACATTCATAGTGCTTTCCACTGTCATGTGACATCTGGTGGCGAATTAAGTTGGACTTCCAGTTAAATGCCTTGGGACATTGATCACACTTGTATTCTCTCTCCTCGGTATGTGACAACATGTGCTTCTCCAAGCTGTGAAGAGATTAATTGATTTAGTGAGAGGCAGGGACAAGGAAACCATTCACAAACAGAATTATCCTTTATTACTAATTCAATTGGCAAGGCAAGAATTGAGCGGGAACGAGACTGAAGCGAGAAGGAGAGACGAGACAGACAGAAACATGTGTTACATCTCTTAGACTGTATTTCCCACCAGGTCAAGCCCTGTAGGAATAAATCTGACACACCTATCAAGGAGTGCCTGAATTTAGGACTATGATAAAAATTATCTATCTATTATAGATTTCTGACATAATCTTAATAGCAAAATTGATTGCTGCTATCTACTTTATTCAAATATAAAATATATTAAAAAGTGCTTAAGGACATGAGGTAGGTATTCTCTTGAATGTATGTAACCTCTAGATAAGAAAGCGTTAATATTTCTAGTCATATAGAAAAGAGACCTGAAAGTAACTTCCCATTATGGCTCTGATCCAGGTGTGTGCATGTGTGGATTGATACATGGGGAGACAAGGGGACAGATCACAGATGATAACAGTGATAAAAGTGCTGACTGCATGCTGAGGATGAGAAACAGAAGACAGACAGACAGACAGACAGGCAGACAGACAGAAGATGGAGTATAGATAGATAAATCACGAGCTATAAGGGAAAGCATGCAGAATTTATGTAAAGATAGTATGGACTGCTAATAAGAGAAAAACATGAGGAGAAGTTTCTTACAAAATAGTTTGTCTACATTTTAAAGTTTGAAATGTTTTGGTTTCTTAAGATTTTAGCTTTGTTTTCTAACTTGGTACATGATTCTCACAAATAAAATGAAAAGCCAGTATACATAATATCTGCAGTTAGCAGACACCTGCAACATTTCTGTTCACTGGCCACACTGTGGAATACTAGCATACGTGCTCACATAGAGAAGGAGCTCCTGGAGCCAGCCTATGTCCATTCTGATACAGCACACGATCCAGGTTCTGAACAGTTTGTTATTAAAAGGAGCAAGAAAGTGGCAAGTGATCTCAAAAGATATTAGGATGCCAATTTGAAAAGATGCACATTGTCCAAAAATAGTCCAAATTATGCGCCAATAGCAGTGAGTCTTTTTTTTTCTGAGACAGGGTTTCTCTGTGTAACAGCCTTGGCTGTCCTGGAACTCACTCTACAGACCAGGCTGGTCTCAAACTCACAGAGTTCTGCCTGCCTCTGCCTCCCAAGTGCTGGGATTAAAGATGTGCGCCCCACTACTGCCTGGCAGCAGTGAGTCTTTTAACAAAAAGGATATTCAACATATGCAAACAAAACTTTGCCAGTCACCCTAACAGGATGATTGGTGTGAAAACTAGGAGGTAAAGGAGAAAGCACATATACATCTCAGTTTTCCCTGTGATGTAAACTCTGTTTTAGGGTGGCAAAATAGACAATAGAAGTAGGAGTATACAGAATTAATTAATCCTTATATTAAGTGACAAAACTAGAATTTATTTGTCATTAATTAGTTAATGAATCCAGGTAATCTGCTGTATGCTTCCTGATATAAATAAATGATAATATCAATGATGCAAACTGTTAAACCAATAAATCCAAAGCCCAGGCCAGGTCTAGGATATAGTGATGCCTTTATGGACAATGGAAGGAAAGAAGAACAATGTTAGACACAACCAAGGAAATATAGACAGAAGAATTGCAAGGAAAAAATGAACTGAGAAAAACAGCAGGGGAGAGATAGCCTGATATGGAGACTCTGAAAAGAAAGACACTTACTAAATTAAAGTAGACATAATTCTTTCAATCAATAGCATGCACGGACCTTCTGCTCATAATAATCCTAAGAGCTCTACCAGAATTATATGTCAGCTTAGTATTTTTAAAGTGCACTACCAAAATAGTGTTTCAAAAGTCTTAGCTTTTAAAACATTCTGTCTATATACTTTTATATACTTTTTCTTAAGAAAAATATATTATCCAAAATTTGTCTCAAACACTCCAAAATAGGTAGAGAAGAAACACAAAACAAAACTGGTTCTTTTTCATGATTGTGGAAGCTGAATATAATGGTGCTTTTAAATTCACTGTCCTTTCTGATTTGTGCCTATTTGAAGCATTACACAATAAAAAAAATCTATTAACACCGCCAAGAATGAGTGTTTAATTTTCTGTCTCATTTTTCTGTGAGATCAGGATTCTGTTTTTGAATAGTAACTAAGACCTGCATTCAGAATACACTCATCAGCAGTTATGAGTGGGATCAATTTGTGAATAAAGCCCCGACTCTCATATCTTCATAAACTGAAAATACTTTTCCCACGTTCATTTTCCTCTGTAGCTTCCTTCCTATTCATAATGGCACATGGACTCACTCTGAGGCCCATGAGCCAGTCCTGTAGAAAATGCTGCTGCTTACCTACAGGTGCTGCTGCCTCACTGAAAACAAAGAACCTGCTGGGAACAGGGACGTGGAGCTGAAAGGAAGGCCCCATCTTTACCTGCATTATGGCATTCTCTGTTTGCAAAAGATGTTGAAAGCTAATAAATGAGGAAGGACAGACCTCAATAACAGCAATGAGCATGAGCTGCCATTTTTGCAAACCACCGCAGTGACTGGGAGTGCGCTATTTTCAGTAACCAAGGAGGGCAAGCCATTTCTACTACAAATTCCAGTATGTGTATCTGAAATCCTGATCCCTGCCTCTTAGAGGCAGAAGACTGCCATGTGTTCTGAGACTCACTTTTTCTCCTAATTACAAGGTTGTGGTCTAGTTCCAAGAGAATGTTGTGAGCACATAGCCACATAGCACTCCTCAGGGGATGACAAAGCAAGGGAGCATCCCCTTCTTCCTTCTCTTGTGTAGCATAAAACACACTGTCATCCCATGGTGTTATCACTGTCTAATACGCTGATAAAAGGGGACATGGACCATTCAGATAACTCAGTCAGTAAAATGAAAGCATGGAGAACAAAATTCTTCTTCTAGCATCCCAACATCAACAGGCTGACACGGTGGCATACATCCGAAATCCAAGAAAAGAAGATCCCTGGGGTGGGCTCACTGGCACCAGCTGGCCTAGCCTACTCAGTAAGTTTGAGGCCAAAGAGAAACCCTGCTCCAAAATTTAAAAAAAAAAAAAAGGTGGACAACCTCCAGAGAATGATCGTCAAGGTTTCCTCTGTCCTCCTCATGCATGTGCATATAGTTATGTACACATGTGCACACCAACACTCCCCACACACACACTCATAGCCCTCACATGCACACCCAGTAGGAGAATGGGAAACAAGTTCTCAAAAAGCAGAAATTGTATTGTTTCCATAGACACAGAAGCCCGTGTCAAACACGAATGTAAAATGCTTCGTTACTGGCCCGGAGATACCATTTCTTTGTGTGAATATTTTCTCTTCTCCCTGACATCTACTGGTTTTATTTTTTTTATAATATTGGGGCATGATTATATTTAAGAGACACTGAATGATTTTTTCATTATAAATGTATAATTTACTAACCATATATCTATTTAACTTCTTGATTTATTCTCTGCAGATTTATATTTATAGAGTGAGGTTGAAAGGTGTTAGGGAATTTCTCTTATTTCCCAGTTTCTTTTCTCATTAGTAATGAACTAACTTGTACTTGAAGCTAGAGATGTAATCTATTTGATTCAGTATCTTTGAGGAGAGCCATTGAGAAGTGGTTATACTTCAACGTTTGTCATCATTCCTCCCTAAGCAGAATGATGTTTGCATGAAATCCTTTCCTCACACAGACTGAATCAGGGGGAAAGAATGCATGACAAAAGAGGAGGGAAAGAGAAAGCAGGAATGGAGCCAGTAAGAACAGACTGAACAAGAAAAGGTGAGGTGGGGTGAGAGCTGTGTTGAGAGCCTACTCAGACACATGCTTGCCCAAGGCCATTTGATGCACAGCCACCCCATGGAAACATGGTAGGATGTGTTCCCTTGAAAGTCTACCTGTGTATTCCAAAGATCATTTCCAGATTGAAAAAAACAAAATGATGAATGCATTTATTAAAATCTTTTGTGAACCAAAAGCAAAAGCTATTAGGTAGAGATAAGCAAAAAGAAATCCTATTTGTATCTCTGAACATAAAGTTGTATTTTGTAACATAATTATCAACACAGTCTTTTAAGGCGAGGCTCCAGTGTTGTTTCCTTCAGTAAAATAAAAAAAAATCTTAAATTAAATTCAAAGGACTATGCTAAGCAAATATGCTACTGAGATCTTATTTTCATTTTCTTGGAGACAAATATTAAAGCATTGCTCCATATCGATTCTTATAGTGCTATTCTTCCCTTTAGAGAAATCCTCACCAGGAAACTGAACGTATTCTTGTTCTGTCATACATGTGCAATTTGATGACTAGTTTGAGTTAAATCTTTGAGCTACATGACTCTTTCAAAAAGTATATTTGAAAATGAGCTTGAGGTCTAGATTTTTAGTCATTTAAATCATTTAGAGGCAGTTTTATTATTCTTGGCATATCACTACCTATCTTTCCCTCACCCTGTATTTTTTTTCAAAGTCATCATTGTCCCCATAAAATTAAGCCTTCAGTTCACAATAACCCAACTTAAATTATAACATCTATAGGCTAGAGGTGTAGCTCAATGGTAGAGCACTTGTCTAACGTAGTCAAGGCTCTGGTTGGATCCCTAGGTTTAGGAAAAAAGGGAGAGGACAAAAAAAGGAAAGGGATGGAAGGAATAATTCTGTTTGGCAAAAATGACGCAAGTTCACTACAGCTATCTTATGGACAAGAAGTTTGAAGGAAACAATCATCCCCGAACTTGCCACCACATCTGGCCAGGCTGTTAAAGCCCCACTCTTCCCCAGAGCAAACTTGTCAAACTCCAGCATAGCATTTAGCTGCAGAGCAAACACTCATGTTCAATAGGCTTTCGCTAACCTTTGCAGATCAGGGAAAACTCGGTCACATTCCTTACAGTCCTGGTTGCCATGGATCTCTCGGAGATCGCTCTCACTCTCAAGGTTTTGCTGCAAGTCCTCTTCTACCATGGAGAACGCCGAGTGGGGTGTGCTGCATGGAAACTTCTGGTGATCGGCTAGTTCAGCCTTGGATTCGAAGAGCTGGTCACAGTCCTCACAGCGGTGCTGCCGTTCTTCTGTGGAGACAGTCAATTGACAGCATAAACCAGCCATCTTTTTGAGTGAAACAAAACGTAACCCATAGTTTGCTTTTGGCGTGCGCGTGTGTCTGTGTGTGTGCTGGAGACTGAAGGAGACTATCTGTGCATGAGTGGATTCACTTATCGATGTGTGCACATGTGGAGGGAAGAGGTTGCTGTCTCTATTGATCCCCACTGTATTTTTTGAGACAGAATCTCTCACTGGACCCGGAACTCACCACTCTGATGAACTGGCTGGCCTGCGAGCCCTGGGGACACTCCTAACTCTGCCTCTACCTCTGATGGGGTTACAGACGTGACTAGCCATGCTTGGCTTTTCCATGGCTGCTGAGGATCCAGACTCAAGTACTCATTCTTGGACAGCAAGAACTTGACCTGCTGTGTCACTTCCTAATCCTGAAAGTTTGACTGCCGTTTCTCCCAAGCTGTGCTCAACGTAAATTAAAAATAATGAATGCAAAGAGCTCCATAAAGAATTAGGAAAATAGCACTTTTCCTTTGGCTACAGTGTGATCTGATCAAACAAAACTAAACACCTAAACACCTTTGCAGGTTCTAGGGAAAACCAGAAATAATAATCACAACTTTTAAACTGTGATCTATTCTCTCAAGCCAGTATAGGCACTATTCGCATTCCCTAAAATTTAAGTATGAGAAAATACAGGCCTGATTTTTACCTAAAATTTCAGATAACAGTACTAAGACTGGAGAAAACTAAGCAGTCAGTTATGGAACTGAAAGACAAGTGATTGTGTCAGAATTTGAACTCACTTCCACTTTTCCCTAAGCCAAAGATATGGTGCTTGAAAAACACAAGTGTACACAGAGGCCCTGTTTGAGCAATAATTATGCTATCATTGTCAATAAACTGTCATTACCTAGAACGGAGCACAGGATGTTTCCAGCACCCTTCAAGGCTAATTCATTGTACTCTGGGGTCAGCGATAATTGCCATGGGTTTGTTAAATAGCAAACATGAATTTACACTTTAAATCAGTAGATTTATAACTAGGCAGTGAGAGTGGAAACTACCAACAGCATTCTTTATAAGTCAGGGACAAAGAGCACTGTTCCGGCCTTTCTAGTCAATAGCCGAGGTCCCACTCAAGAGTCCACACTCAGTGGAGGTCACAGGTAATGACCCCACAGGTATTGTGTATACCTCACAGAGCTGAAAAGCGCCCATAGTAACACCATGACACATAAGCTGTTTTGTAGACCTATAACCGAGGACGATGTTATTCCTCAGCTATTAATGGACTGTTTGGGGGAAAACATCGCAGTCACCTACCAAATTGCCAGACACTTTGCTAGAGAATGACTACACAAGGAACCCAAAGGGACATGCCTGAGCACAACGCGATGACAAACAAACACACAGGAACCCGAAGGAAATAACTGCCCAACTCAACTACGTGGGAGAAAATGCTTCCTTCACAAAGGGCTTAGAGTAGGTCAAAATCAGCGCAGTGAAACAGGCTAGAGTGTGCTAAGGATGAAGGTACTCACACCACACATGGCTCACCAAAGGACCAGGCTGCAAAGTACGCCAGGTGTATAAGACACATGGAGGGAAGGCAGAAAATGATGTGACAGAAGCACACTAATGCTTATGTTAAGAGGGGAACGGAATTTCATTGGGGCCTGTAAGCCAGGTTATGTTTAGGCTGCATCTATAGAAGAATTTCCCTCATTTGTAGTTGGACAAGTCTAATAGAGAGACCCACCAAGAGCCTGCTACCTCTGAAGACACAGGTTTACCTTAAATCACATTGGTAATGGGGGGGGGTGGGCAATGGTAGATAGCCCTGTCTTTACTTTGTATGCAAACTTACAGAAGGTGGATGTACTCTACCAACATCTCCTCCGCCTTACAGAGAGTGAACGCGCTCCACACTCATCTCCTCTGCGTCGGAGACGGACGTCTCAACAATATTAACTAAAGACATTTTTCTAAGGGTTATAACACGTCTATATATTCAATATCTGTGCTTCCAATCTCATCTAGGAACCCACAAAGAAACCGAACTTCCAGGCGCAAAATGCAGAGAAAAAGCTTAATATTAGAGAGACAGCAAAGACCCTGCCCTAGAAGCTGACTCTATGCGCTGACCATGTTTTCTTCCAAGATGCTTTACTTCCCTTTAACCTCCGTTCTCAACCTGTAAAATCACTGTAGTACCTCACTCGGGGGGGGGAGGGGCTGAATCTATGTGTAAAAGATTTAAAAACAAGCTATGCAAAGCACATTATATCCAGCATATAAAAGCTATGGAACGCGTGGCTTTAAATTATTGTTTTAGAAGTATAGAACCCAAAGAACTATTAAACATTCTAAGAACATCAGTACATGCTTATAACTGAAAACAGCTATGATATATTAAAACAACAAGCAACTAATAGTTCAAGGATATTTTTGTAGAAATATATGTGTGTTCATATGTGTGTGTGTAAAAGCGTGTGTGCGTGTGTGGGTGGGTAGAAGAACAATCTCAGGTTCTTGGGTACCATGTACTTTTTTTTTGAAGCAGTGTCTCTCATTGGCCTGGAACTCACTAACTTGGCTAGATTAACCAGCCAGTGTCCCAAAATGTCACCTGTCTCGACCTCGTAAGCACTGACACTACCTGCCCCCACTCTTGGATGTTTCTACATGGCTTTAAAAGATCAAACCCAGGTCTTCAGGCTTCCAAGGCAAGCTATCTTTCTAACTCCCCTAAATCCCTTAAACCATGGTTGCTTTTCTGAGCGGCAATTTTAAGAATGGAAACATTACTTCTGTTCAGGTATTTTAAAAGTGATAAAGTAATCATTTCTATTTTTAAAAACTGTGTGAAAACATTTAGGATTCAACAATCATGTACAAGTGGAACACTGTACCCAAAGAGGCCCAGACTACCCATTTTTAATCACCAAGCACCCTATACAGTTTAAGTAAGGCCAGATGCCACATTCAGGCTCAAACTCCATCTGGCTGACTGGGAAGTTTAGGTTTCTAAAGGCAATTTCATGTCAGCTTTTTCAATAGGAAAATGTATGCCCCAAAGATATCCCTAAACAGCCAGGATGTTTTACAAAGAGACAGAATGGAGATGAACTATGGGGGTGATGCTGGTGTGAAAATAACTAGCCACAATGGCAGTTTCCATCACAGAGAGTCTTAAGGTTCTCTCTCCGCATCCCTGGAGACCAACTCTGGTACTTTCAACTGAAAAGGATTCTAAAGTATTTTTGAAACCAAGTCACATTATGTTAGGTGAAATCAGAAGGGAAAGAGATTGTCTCAGCTGTCTTGGTCGGTCCTGAACCCCTGTCACTACCAGTTGTCATTTTTCTGATATAGATATATCTTTTGATATAGGACAGGCTTCTTGCATGGAATAATTCCATTGGCTGTAAAACTTCCTCGTCTATAATTTTCTTGTCCATGATCTCTTCCTTCTAGGCAGAGATCAACCCTCTACAAGGTAGTGCTGATTAAAATTCTGCTCACATGGAAACAGTTTCCCAGTAATAGAAATATAAGTGGGCGAAATGGCTGGTCGTTCTAAGAAAGTTCCAAGCCTGGCCATTTGTGATGACTCTCAAAGTGTGGGGAGAGGCTGGAGAGAGGATCGGTGACTTAAAGCACGTGATGCTCTTGCACAGGACATGGGTTCCATTTCCAGCATCACGTGATGGCTCACAACCTCCTATCACTCAAGCATACGTGTCTGAAACCCCCTTCTGGCTTCTGCAGGCACTGCTGATACATTGTGCACATACAAACCTCTAGGCAGAACATGCATGCACTAACAGACTAGATAAATAAAAATAAGTAAACAAACAAATAAATAAAAGTGAATGAATGAATGAATGAATAAATACTCTTTAAACGAGTGGAAGAATTCTTACAGAAGAAACTAAACAAACTGAAATAGATGGTTTTGACCAGATCTTCAAAACTCTCCTCCATGCACTTTGGGTTAGACCTCAGCCAACTGAAATTTCTCCAACACAACAGCCACACGTCGCCTCCAGAAAATACCCATTCTGGGATAACACATTTGTCAACAAAGACACTGTGTATATATATATATAACCAAGGAAGTTAATGAAGAAATCACAGGTGCGTAGGGCCTTCTTGGAAACATTGCTGTCTCCAGAAGGCAGCTGGCCCTGGGAGCTGCACACAGCGCTCACCATGGATGCCAGGTGCCATGGGCTCACCTGGGTGCTGTGCGCCGCACTCACCATGGATGTCAGGTGCCACGGGCTCACCTGGGTGCTGTGCGCCGCACTCACCATGGATGTCAGGTGCCATGGGCTCATGGGGATCCTCTTCACTCTTCATGAACAGCAGGAGCTCCTCGCCAGGCGCAATGTCTGTGACTACTCGGTAGAAGATCTTCAAAGATCGGGCACAGGTGGCAGGGAAGACAGACAGGAGCAAGCATTAACAAAGAGCAGGACACACACCAGAGCAGTTATACAGTTTTTCGTATTTTAATAAACATATTCCCTTTCAGTTTTACCAAAGGAGATGGTGATCTCTGTTTTATAAACTAAGAAGAAAAAAAAAATTTCTCGTTGGACGAAAAATATCTTTCAGTTTACAAACTTTTACCAAATCCTAGCGAGTATACAAACCAAATTTCCTAATAGGAGTTTGCAATATAGTCGCCTAAAGTCTGTGTAATGTTTAACAAATACTTTTTCCATGCCTGGATTCCTCAAAGCACCCAGCGGCCACACCTTCGCAGAGCTTAGCCGCTCCTGATTATTCAGCAGAGGCCTCGCTAACCTTGAACTGCCCCTAACTCAGCAGAGGAGTTTTTCTCCATGTGACTTCCCAAAGGCAGTGGTTGGTGGGATGCAGCAAACTGAACTGCCATGGTCCCTGGAGAACAGAATCCTAGGAGAGTCTCTTCGTTTCACAGCATTACTCCCACCAATGATAAGGTGAGGCCCGAGGTCCTGCCCTTGTGCCCCAGTCCTGATTTCAACTTCAACACGCAGGCCCTGCTGCCCTCATCTCACTGTGTAATCAGGCTGCTGTGCCGGATGCTTATGCCCTGGTTTCCTACCTAGGAGGTAAGGACAGGAAGGGTTTAATAAATTTGCTACTAGTGGCTTGAAAGGGATCGGGGAGATAGGGGCTGTATGGAGAACCCCAATCTGAAATTTCCAAGAGCTGCCTGTCTTTTCAAGTAGCTCAGTGACAGACAAGTCATGGCCTCTTGCATGTCCGGGCACCAGGCTTTTAATCACTGATAAAGGAAGCATTTAAGCACAAAAGTCTTCAAGATATACATTTATTTTATCATTAAAATGCTATCGATGATTCATCTTATTCTAAGGTTAGTTATTAAGCAATTCTATAACCAGATGGAGGTCTGGGGACAATGAAGGTTATACTATAGCTAATAAACACTAAAAATTATAGCTCTCTACAGCATCTGTATGCGTCGGCCCTGTGGCTTTTCTTCCACGCTCATCTCTCTTGTGCAAGCATGCATTCTCTCTCTCGGTCACCACACACCAATCCTCTTCCTCACTAACTAATCCATAAATAAACAAGATTGTACTCCCCTCCCCATATATTCTGTAAACCAGGGCACATGCAGGAGCAAAAGCAAAGCAAATAGCAAAAACTTTGGGGAAAGTATAGAACAAATCAAGAAATAGGCAGAGGAACCTAGAAGACATTGCTATTTGAGCCACGGACTTGCTCTGCATCTGGTACTCAGGAGCATCTGCTCATTCAAGTTGAGAAAAATCTGTGTAAATTATCTTGTAAGATCGATGGAAATATTCGTCCATCTGTTACATTTGCCTATTTGTTTATCCTTGGAAAAGCTGAAGACCCTACACAGAAGTATGTGCTTCTCTTTGCCAGTAGGTGGCTCTAAACTCCAATTGTTTATTTCATTTTATTTTGTTCTATCAAAAAAAAAAAAAGATCAGAGCATGGAATTGTGCTAAATTAAAATAATATATATTTTCTGTTTACTCTCTTTCTTGAGGCTTTTTTATTCATTGGTACTTAAACCAGCCTAAGTTCCTTTATAGAAAACAATATCAATCAGGAAGTACTACTGAGCACTGCTGTAACATAGCCTGCGATTATTCTATTTCTCCAGAAGTGAAGTACAAACTGCCACAAAATGGGCTCCTTCTATGGCTCTGCTTAAAAGGGGTCACAAAGTTGAGCATGCTCACCTTGCACCCAGCACCCGCCCAACACACCCTCACCCTCCTGTCTCTGGAGGCCCACAGGCAGGAAGAGGCCTTGCTCAAAAATTACCAGATTCAAAGCATATCCGCGTGCAGGGTGTCTTTCCCCTTACACCTGTGGGTTAAATACTGGCTAGTACCCTGCTTCCTCCTTGAGTTCTATTTCCCCTTAGACGACAATAGACTTCTCTCCACAGTTTGAATCACCTCCGCTCTGGCATTGCTTACAGGTTTGACTTATTAATTTCTTTTCCAACAGCACGTGAACATGCAAATCATGACGCATGAGGACTTTTCAGTGGCTTCTCAGAAGCAGGGAGGGTAGAAAGACAATGCAAGTCCAGTTGTCTCATTGGGGACCCTTTCTCGGACACACATGTCGGGCCACTTGGAGAAAGTATTACGATATCATGATTTCTTTGCGGTCCTCTATTAATCATGTCTCTTCTAATTCCATTTTAGATTTGTGCAATCCAATGCGAACAGTCCAAGGAACAAAAGAAAATGATGGATACACTACAACTATATATTATGAAGACAATTCTCCTTGCCGGGACATAGATCACTCGTGTAATTACCCTTTAAGTGTCCAGATTGTCACGTGAAGAATATTGAGTGCATAAAATATAAAAGACATGGACGAGTGTTGACGTTAGCTTTATTTACTGGAGGTAAAAGGTGACATTCCAGGCCATGAAAGGCAAGGCAAAGCAGAGTGGATTTTAACTTCAGGGTGTTCTTTTCAATTTTAACTGAATTTTTATGGTGCTCGTGAAACTGGGGTTTGAAAAGAACTGGCAAACACCAGCCATAACGAGGGCAAATTCTGGGCATGCTTCCCCATACAGCAATAAGAATGTGCCTTAAAGCCCCATCCTCCACACCCTCATGGTCCAGTCCTCCTTTAGGGGGTTTCTGCTGCTGTGATCTTTGCTGTCTGCCCTTCCTTAGGACCACAGAAGTCCTGAAGTCAAACGATGTGCTCCTCCTCTGATTATAATTTGAAAACTTGAGCCCAGAGATATCTTATCACAAGAATAGGAATATATTAGCAAGCATTCAAAGCAAAATGACTTTCCGTCTTTGTGTGAATGTGTGTGTGTGTGTGTGTGTGTGTGTCTCAAACTGATTGCATGGGAAAATGATGGGACGCAACCCCGAGTGAACCTCCTCCTTCAGGAAATACCGTGTCTCTGTTTTCAGGAAATGCTGTGTCTCTACTTTCATGTTATAAAAACATCTTGTGGTAAATAAGAAGCCGGCAGCAGCAGGAGTGACCTCTGCAGACACTTACCAGTGTGGATGCTTACAGACACACTGTCTTTAGGACCAGGGCACCTCAGAGACCCAGCTGCACAGCAAGTCTATAAACCCTGTGCCATCTGACTTATACACCAGAGGAAAAGACACTATTTTTCTGGGGGATTTGCTGTGGAAAAATGGGAGTTGATTAGTCTGCTGAATTCCATAAAAGACTTAACAGTCCTCCTTTCCCATTGTAGCTGTGTGGAAAAACTTAACCGGGTCCAAAGTTAAAATGTCCTGGGTTTTGTGATGAATTCAATACAAGGACAGAAATCTCAAATATTCAGAAATAAGTTTCAACCAATTCAAAAGTTGTCAGTTTTCTGCACTGTTCTCTCTTGTAGAGTGCGCTGCTGGAGTGAAAGACAATCCCAACACAAAGTAGAAAAGCAGAAGAAGGGTCCCACCAGTGTAAGAAACAGGTACACGGACATTCTATTTCATAAGCCAGTTATTGCAAATCTAAAACCCTGTGATCTCTTCTGGAATTCTAAATTTATTGACTGTTACTAAAATTCAGAAATAGATGTTATGAACATGGCTTAATTTTTCATACAGCCAAGCTTTTTCATAACATAGAAATTTAATTTTTCTACTATCTGAATAAACTGCTTTTTTTCTTTTCCAATAAGCTGTATTCCTCTTCATAATGAATCACATAATGAATGTGATACTTGGATTTTTGAATTCTTCAATTTATAAAGATAAGCATCTATAATGATTGATTTGGTAACCGACTTCATTGTAGTCTTTTACTACCAGCTTTTGTGAGAGCAACTCACTAGCAAAATTTCTGAGTTTCAAAAAGAATTCTTAATAATTTGCATAATTATGCAATTAAACAATACCAGGAAACCCAAAACTGTTCCCTTTTGGTAGTAGTGGCATTTGTAGCTTAAGGCATAAATATAATATACTTGTAAACAGACATTTACTATAGATAGAATTATTGTAATTAATTCATTTTAAACAAACTCTGAAACAATTTAAACAATTCTGAACGTAAAAAAAAAGTCAGGTAAAATAAGGGATTTAAAAAAGCAGCAGAGATGTGGACAGGAGCAACAATTTTCAGACTCTGAGTGAGCCACTGTCACTGTTGCATGTACATAATTTTTTACTGGGACATACTATATATTTTACATGTAACATCTAAATGAAGAAGAGTTCATATTTTTAAGGAATTTGAAATTTTAAATGAACTATTTACAATCTCATGTTATGTGTTAATTTTATCTAAATGAAGTTAATGCTTCATCAGATTAATTCTACTTGTATGTACATTTAAATATATATTATGTTATGCACATCTTATATAAAGATAAAATTTGAATTAACTTTAATTAATTACATATCATTAAATGTTTCTTTCCACCAATTGTTTAAGTTCAAGAAGACCACACTAATGAGGGTAGAGACACTCAAAAGCATTCTGGGAAATGCTAAAGTCCTCAGAAGGCTCTCAGACTAATTCCATTTTGCCAAGGCCTCTGTCCAAACTAATCTGCCATCAAAATAATGATATTTCCATTTGTACTTAAAAAAAGGTAAAATGTTCTTGTTCATTATCCTACAGAATAGAAGTTCTGAGAATCTTCCAGAATAGCTTTGCTGTTAGTGTGCCAGGCTTGAATCACTTTAAAGTGTACTATTTGTACTATTGAGTTAGAAGATAAACTTCAGTGTACAAGAGAAAACAAGAAAGAAAATAAACCATTTACTTTGTAAAAGATGAACAAGGCCTCATTGTTATGACTTTCCATTTATTTTCCGCGGTCAAACACTGGAAGTTTTATTTATGCATAATAGACTGCACTTGGCATGTCTAAAAATGACAGAAGTGTGAATTATGAGTGACCTTCAACC